TTGGCATTCACCGCGAAGTTAACCTCTACGGACGCAGTGGCCTATTTCCATATGCTTAAAGTTAGCGGCATTTTTCCAGACAAAGAGAGAGAGAGAGAGAGAGAAAAATGGAGATATCTGATTAAAGTAAATTTGATATTCCTGAAGAAATCGACCGTGCGAACCATCTTTATAAAAAAATTCTATATTGTACTTCATTCATTGATAAGAATCAGATCCAAGCAAAAGGATTTAGTTGATTTATTTCTGTCATTGGGAATTTTATTTGCATTTAATTTCAGTATTACCATTCCTTTAGTTGGATTAAATTGTTGTTTCGTATTTAAGGTGTGTGTTGAACAGGAGAATTTACTAGTATAAGGAAGCATGAACACATCTCTCAGTTGAAAGAAATTGATTGGCTCAATATGTCGAAAAGAAGATTATTACATTCTGCTTCCTTATTTCATAAAAGCATCTCTACTAAGATGCCTACCTACCTGTATGAAAACATTAAATTCAGTTCTAGTAGTCGACATTACAAATTAATTACCCCTCCACTACATAAAACGCAAATGTTTAAGCGATCTTTTTCATACAACATAGCAAGTGTATATAACAATATTTCCGCGTATATAAAAAGAAAAGAAAAAGGCGCATTTAAACGAAATTATTTTCATTTACTTCTACGCGAGCAAAACAAATGATTATTTTTCTTCCCCTTTTCATTTTCTTCTTCTTTATTTAGAACCACGACTGATTTATTTATCTCTCTCTCCCTTTTAATATACATATTTTTAAGTTCATTCCACTAATTGTTTTATTTTCTTAGTTTAGGATGGGGTTAAGTGGTAGAGCAGTTCTAGGGTGTCTCACCACAGAACTGAACTTCGCCCCGTTAGATTACGGAACATTAATTTCATTTTTCATTTAATTTTAATTATTTAGTTTATTATCTATTTGAATGTTTATTTTATGTTTATTTCCTTCTGTACTTCCAGTAATCTAATAAATGCACTTATTATTATTATTATTAAATCATTATGTGGTAAAAATATCATTTCTACATAAGAATAAAATTTATCAGGGACATGTGATCACGAAATTAAGTTAAATAATTAATAAAGTTTGTGGCCAGTGGCGTACTTCTGCATTATCCAAAGGGGCATACTTTTTTTAAAGTAAGAACCACTAGTGTTCATCACATATTTTTCTTTTTAGCGCATTTTTGTAAAGACGAGGAGTGTATGTGAAATTAACGACTTTAGACATGGGGCTACATATGATGTGGGGTCGGCAACATCTGGGCGACATCTCCGAGACGTGGTGATTTTTCAGTTTTTTCCCAACGTCTTCTACAGTTTTACTGCGATTGATTTCAAATTGGTATCGCCGGAAAGATATTACACGCCCACAACTCCTGCATGACGGAATTTTGAATGATTTTTGATACAATAAATTGCTTTCCCATAACTAACAAAAGAAAAGAGAAATTAAATTAATTAGCACTATTTTCTTCAATTTGAATTTTTCTCTTAAATTTGATTATGTAATGTAATAAGTTCTTTATGCTGCTGTATCCCGAAAAGTGTACACTTTAACTCTCAAGTCGTCGCGCCAAGGTCTATGACACCGGACAACTAAAAATATCAGGATTGTTCTCGGTGAATATGCTCAATTTTACTGCCCCAAGGGTATCGATTACAAGTTCGACTTAGAAAAGTTTGCGGAATTGATAAAAAACAAGGGCAAGGAAATGTGAATCCTGGTAGATGCGCATATTCAAGTTATAAAAAGAAGAGAAAAACTCGATTTTCTTGTTTTAGATATAGCACTTATATGTGCCTAAAACACAATAATGCTATTTCTCACTCTGTGCTTTACACGTTCTGGTATACAAAATATTCGTTTGATTCATAAAAAGAAATACACACATCACTAGCATGGAATTTGAATTGCCATCATCCATACTCTATTCATCTTTGGCAATTGGATTCCTTAAATTGGAGATCCTAGAATAATTAGTGACCGGATTCACGTTTAACTCCGTAGGAGGATATAATTCCGATTTATTAACTTGCGTTAAATTCACCATTTGTTGCGAGTACCGACGCGTTTGACATATCTTTCATCTGCTGAAAACGCGAGCGGCCATTTTCTGGATTTGATCAATAAGCGATCCTCTCAACAAAGGGACAACTTCTGTAACTTTTAGCGTATTAGTATCACTTTCAATTAATTTATTAGCTTCTGTCCTGCTTAATATCTTTACTATCTCGGTTAAATCGGCTGGCCAATTAAATACCGTACCTGATATAGACGCAGATTAAGAGTAGAGCAAGGCCCTTCAGGCATTAGTCAAATAAATATATACGAAGCTCTGCGGATTGGGAGGTTTTCTTTTGATCATTTGCAGGTTTTAGATTGAGGTCACTTCTTGGCGTCAGCGTCATTTATGCCTTATATGTTTTACTTCTTCTTGGCCCTATACGTACAAATTGTTGCCCGGAATATCAATTTATTTGAATTTATCTCTGGAAACATGTTTTAAAATTCAGTAATCAATTTAATCGATTATTCTTGATTGGAGGTTTGTTAAACTGGAAAATTTCAATTGTAAAGTCAAGTAAATATAAGTTTATGGGTAACGTAATTCGTAATTTGGCAGAATTTTGTATACTTGTGTGTTACGCTCTCTAATTGTGAGTAGATTTTTTATTTTTGCGATTTGTTCGAATAAACCAGTATTTCTTTAGGTACCTAAATTGATTTGCACTGTTTTTACTACCCTCGTCTCATACGGGGAGAGTTAAGTTAGAAATTGACTGGCGATCAAGCATGGGTAAGTGCAACGAAGGGCGAAGATCAAATGCCCAGAACGAACTACCACTGTGACAGATCTCAAGCTTGTATTTTCTGGTTTAACCCTGAGCCAGTTGGCCGTTTATGCGGCGGGTTTGAGGACACGCACTACCAACCGTTACATCTGAAATGTCAACATTTAAATTTAACTCAAAAAGAAGATCAACTCGTAATCAGAGAGATTATCAATATCGAAACAGATTTCCGCCAAGCTATAATTGTTCAATGACTATCAAACAAATGTAGTAATTAAATTTCTATTGTATCAAAAACCAGTATGCAATCAAAAGTTATATCGAGGAATCGTCGAAAATAAAATTTACTTTTGAACTCTGGATGTAACGGCCTTTTGAGCTTAGAAAGGCGCTTTTTGCATTATCTGTAACAGATAGAAATCGAATACTAAAACCGTAATTAATAATCAATAAGAATCAATAATTCGAATGACTGTACACTAGATGGCAATGGAATTTTCCAATGGACCTTCATTGATTGTGAAATACTGCGAAATTCAAAATTCTGCGGTTTCCGCCAAAAATATCGAAGTAGATAGCAATAATCAAGTAGAAAATAATGATATACGTACCGTAAACGACCTTAGAACTTGTAAATAGATCCACAAAAACGCGTATCCTCTAAAGCCAAGCAAATACTCAAGAAAGAAACTTCACAGAAATGCAATAACCACCAACAAATCTCTTTTACAGGTAGCAACAAAATTTGTCAAAACGATCTGTACGTTCTTATTACAAGTAATAACCGAAACTGTTCTTGTACAAGGAATGCGTGGGCAGAAAGAATTAAGAAAACACCGGCACGACCTCTAGCAGCGAAAATAAAGAACTATTGTAAATGAAACCTGTACCGCTCGGACAAATCGAATGTTCCTTGAGCAAAAAGGGACGTTACAAAGAGTATATGACGCTAAGACCATTACCTTCCCTTGGGACAAAAGTTGCCTCAGACTAACCAGAAAGACATTATTTTTAAAAAAATTTTGCTTGTAGAACCAGAAACCAGAACACAGGCAAAATTTTTGCTTTCTGCACACGGTTCTTCTAAAATTTAGGGGGAATTTCCTTGATCCATCATCCATCTTGTTGTAACTCAAGTCTGAAAGCCACTTGTTTAAAAAAATGGTTTATTTAGAAGATTAGATTTTATTGGGAAAGTTACCAGTGAGGTCTTCGTCTGCAATAGAATGTGCAAAAGGCCATTACTGAATTCGTTACCAAAAGGCCCATAGTCTATTAACATTAATAAAAAAAAGGGAATTTGTGGAACGGGCCTGACGAATAAGGTAACAGAAACTGGACCGAATTCTTACCAAAATCATTCACGGTGATAATTGGTCTCCCTGCATGCATGTGCAGTAAATTCGACCATACCTTCTAATGCATCTGGTTGCCAAAAAGTGGCACAACATAGTAAGTTTCAACAATATTTGATTTGTTCGGCTATTGGCGACATTCTGCTGGGCCCATGCCACTAAATCTATTCCACTAAAAGGCTTTGTCATAGTTGAACGAACATGTAAAAGCATCTCGTAAGTACATTTATTTTATTAAAAGGAAAATTCAATTAATGCTGGAAAATGTGAGCAACAATAGCTGCAGGCCTTTCTATGTTTTGACGTAACTTTATTGCAGCCCGAAACGTTTTTAAAAGGAAACATCCTCCATTGTATAGTATAAGAGTATAACCCACATTTCGATGTACACAACAACTAGAAAGGGGAATAACCTTGTTTTTAATTGAAATGATAAACGGCTTTAGTATTTAGAAAATCGATAGGCCAAATGTAGGAGATTTGTTTCAAAACATTTAATGCTATTCATGGCTCCATTAAATGGTGATTGGCACGACTTTCCACTAAATTTGACAGCCGTGGACGGAAAAGGTGAATGTTTCCCAATATTCCATATTTCTGCAGCTTTGACAGATGGAATCGATTTGTAAACTATTTGTTCTCCGCGGGATTTTGCCCTTTTGAAGAAGCTGTTTGCAAAAGAGAACGAAATGATTTTTATTCGCGTTTATGTCAGGATTCCTTATGCCGGCTTTAGCCAATTTCCCTAAAATATAGCTAAACGTTACCGATTACTTATCTTGAATAATGTAGACTGCAATAACAGGTTAGAAGTAAATTATCGTTATTGTTGAAAATTTGAAACTTATGATAATGCGCGTTACGCAGTTAGTTTTGTGAGAATGTTTAGTGTGGCAACGCTAATTATAATATCGTTTCTTTTTCAAGACACTAATGGAAACGTGTACACTGATACATTTTCAATTTACAAACAATTCATCACCAACATCCCAGTGCTTACAAATTCTGAAAAGATTTCGAGCGAGTGTGCCCAACAGCTAAACATCTACTCACAACACTTCAACAATGGTACAGAATGGGCCATTAAAAGTAAGTTAAGTACTCGTAATTCGTTATACCTCCCGTTAACTGCAGTTGCATCACGCTCATCTTCCCTCTGTGCAATGAAACATGTACAGAAAATTGAACTTTGAACAAAAGGTTGTATCTAAACACTCTAATTACCTTCCACTTGTTTGCGATTGTCAGTCGTCTAATTACTTTCGATTTGTCTAGGTTTTCATCGTCATAATAGTACATTATATATCAAGGTAGAGAAGTCCACTATTATTGCCTGAGCACCAAGATTACATCTCGAGGCGCTTGCGCCGAGGGGTGTAAGGTGCGAAGGCAATAATAGACTTCTCTACCGTGGTATATATACTATTTTTTTCACTACTAGCACTTGAAATCCTCTAAATGAACATATTTTATTGATAAGAAAGTGAACGGTTGGACAGATTTTTTTGTTTCTTAATTTAACATGTCAATCAAGTACGTGGAAGTACAAGTCAAACAGGCCGTATTTTGTTCTGTCATTGAGATTTTTCAAAGAGTAATTTCGTTCGAATTTTTTCAAAATATGATAATTTTAGGTATGTAATTTCTCTGGAAATGGCGGATGGTGGCAATTATTCATTTTAGAGAACTTGTCTAAACGTTTATTGAGCGAAATTTCGGGTTGTGTTTTCTAAAAGTGACAGCGTGACAGTTCTCATTATTGACTACTAGTTAATAATAAAAAATTATTAACCACTTTGAACAAATGCCGAGAAAGCCTACTTTACAAGTGGAAAAAAGGTTAATAATCATGTCATCAGACGCTAGTAGTGAAAAAAAGAAATAATTATGTCCTGGATTGTAATTATAACGTTAGAAAACCCTCGTTCTTAAGACCATCCTTCTAAATTACTCCCAATATTTGCATGAGAATTGAAGTCTAATCATGAAATAAAAGAAAAATACTTGAGTGCTCTTGGATCTCCCCAAGAAACTCGTAGAGATACCAACCAAAGACGAAATGTTTGGTCCTACTCGCATAAGAGGATTGTGTTAGATAGAGCAAAGAAAATTGGATGATACGAAAGCACAGACATGTTTTTGTAATACACAGAGTCACAAATGTTTCTTTTGGAAACTACCTTAGAAAAGTCCTCAAAATTGCATTTTCCTTAAATAACGCACCCTTAAATAGGGCGAGGAAAATAATAATAATAATATTTATTAAAAAAAATAGTTCTGATTCCGACGAAATTTGGGGTTTGGTGGTGAAAATGACAAATTCGCGGGCAACGAACTGATCAGGATTTCACAAATTTTCCCGGTGTAAGTTGTTTAGATATTCAAGAACAAAATTCTCAAATAGTGCTTCAAAACGCCGATAGACCTAGTAAAGGCATTGTCCTGTATCGTCATAATAAACTCAGAAGAAGGGAAACATGATCATAAAATATTAGCATAATTTGTACCCGAGGATAAAAGGGGAAAAAAGGAATGGAAACATAACATTTAATTTTATTGGCTTCCGAGCCGAGTGAAGCTAGGTCTAAGACTGAGTTCTATACCAGGGTGCAAATCATTTAATAATCATGAAGAAATCCAAGGTATAGGCCCTTTTTGCATAGGTAATTTTTTTTAGCCAATTGAAATTACATTTAAAATAGAATCATACACATGGGCGCTAAACTCCCGAAGAGTTATTCTATGTACCACAATCAAGGCCATTTCAATCACTTTAGTAGCCATCACCATGGAGGCTTTTCCCCTTTTATTTTGGCTCGAAAACCAATTATTCTATCTTTCAAGAAATGCATCATCAATTACTATTTAGCAAAGTACTATGGCAATACAAGAACAAATGCAACAAATATTATTGTATAAACAACGTCCGTCAGGACGGTGTATCGGAATTTGGAACAGTCAGAATTTAATTATTAATTAAGGTCTTCAAAACTTTGTTTTCTTTGTTTAATGTTCGTGGGTCTAGTAAAGCGCGGTTTAGACGCTACGATCTTGGCTTCGATAAATCGTAACGATCTGATTGTCCAATTTATCGTTCAATAAATCGAAAAAGTGCGTACTGTTTACATGTAACGATTTCTTGTTCCAATCTCATTGTCGATCACGGTTTAATACAGTTTTTATTTTTTTACTTTTCAACTTGTCTTTTGGTTCTGTCCACTAATATAAATTATACTCGCATTTTATTGCTTACATTGCTTGCTTACAAGTTACAATAGACTCTTAATCTCGATTATGATTTATGAGTAGCCATGTGTCGCTAAATATTTTTTTTTGGGTGGCCAAACTTGATCGCCACTCGCCAAATGTAAAACGTGTGCGCTAGAGACAGTCCAAGTAGCCCAAATGGATACAAAAATGGTTCACGTCGGCAACATTAATCACAAATCGTAGCGATAAATCGCTGTTATTGTTTACACGTTCCAATTTATCGCTACGATTCGCAGAAATTGAAGCTGGCCGCCATCAACCATCCAATCCAATTCCAATTCCAATAAATCGCTACAATCCTCTGTTCACACGCAACGATAAATCGTAACGATTCGATCGTTACGATAAATTGTTACAATTTATCGTAGCGTCTAAACCGCGCTTTACGTCATAACACAATTTTTCAATACGATCGTGTAGTCAAGGTTATATTTGTTTAATTTCTGTTAAATGTATTAAGGCATTTCTGAGAATCCTTAAGTTTAAAAAAATTTTCTATGTATAATATTTATTTGTTATCAAGTTGCTTGTTAGCTCAAATGTGACAGCTTGAGTTGATTTATTAGGATTTTCTTTTATTTGTGAGAGATAAAGATAATTGTTTCGGAGATAACGTGGTTACATTAATCATTAAAAAAATTGTATTCTGTAGTAGAAATGTTAACGGTATCCAGGGATTGTATATTGACCAGTATCGTTTCTAGCCAGTTTTATTGCCTGTGTAATGGCCGTTCGAACCGACAAGTTTAACCGGAGCTTACCTTAAGCGTAGCTTAAACCCATTGCAACCATTGTCTAAATAATGGTTGCCATGGATTTTGGGCTTAAATTTGTTGGTGCAAACGAAAATTAAGTAGAATTCCCGTTTAAATCGGACAGACGCGGAAAAGAAGACGCATTTTGCCAAGTTTGAGGCCGGAGTACCGTTCGTTTGAAGTTGCTTTTTAGCGCATTTTTTAAGAATAAAAAAAATTCTATTGTTTGCGGTTTGTCCGTCCGTTCGTCCGTCCGTCCGGGCCCACTTCTGCCGTTTCGAACTAGTTCTAAGGGAATGGTCCTAGAGTCCTGGAATTTTTGCAGTAGGTAGCCTATACCTTGAAGGTGTGCCAGACGGCCATCAAATTTCGCTGTCTAAAAGCCCCCCACGAATTATTTCCTGAGATGCTGTTTTTGAAACTGAAACGTGCATAACTTTTACATACGACAACCAATTAGTCTCAGATTTTGCATACGCATGCCTTTAGTGGTGCCAAGGTAACCTTTAGAAAATGGGGGAGGGGGTAAACACATGTTCTACCCTTCAGGGTAGTGAAAGGTCTCTATAACTTTCCCATGCGACCCTTTTTCGAGATCAGTTTTCTACCAACTACTGCCCTTCTTTCTGTCCTCTTATCAAAGTACGGGGTAGAAGGGGAGGGGGAAGGGGGGGAGTGGAACTATTTTTATCCTTCATGGTATTCTAATGAAAGGTCTCAACGAAAGGAATTAATTTCTACCAACCATAGCCCTCCTCCTCGACCTCTTATCGTGATCGGGTATATTCCCATATACCTCAAGAACGGATTGTCGGAAGTGGGTACCCACGCAGGGCGATTGAGACGTCTGCAAGAAATATATCAATTGGTGATGTCAAAACAAAAGCTATTTCGGTTAAAAACAAATGCACTTTATCTGCACAAGAGTTGTGCATAATTTATACTTGTTTCTAATTTTTTTCGGTTCGCTTTGTTAGAAGTTTGTTTGCCAGTGTCCAGCGTCGTTACGTTGAAAGAGATAAGAAGTTTCGTCCAGTTCGCGGTCGACTACGTTAGAAGCTAAAGAAGAATGTTCAATTAAGATCGAGTTTTATGTATCTGTTAAAGACCGGCCTGAATTTAGTTGTGCTGATTTTTCGAAGAAGTTTCTGGGGGGTTACAAATAGGTTAAGACGGCGGTTTCAAAACACATTTTTGAAGCTAAAAAAAGCCACAAACTTTCCAGGGGAGAAACTCCCATCAATGGGGAGGGGAGTATTCCCCTCCCACGTGTCAGTGGTCCAGTTTTAGTTTAATTTGTGATATGTGTGTGCGAACCCATTTAGAATATTTTGTAATTAAAGAATAAAAGTGTAAGTAGTCTTAAATCTTGATTTGGTAGTTCTGTGTAATTTCACGCAAGTTGGGCGTTAATCCGGACACTTCATTAATACCGACCCAAGAAGTTTCATGTTCAAATCACGATTCATTTTATTGAATTCTTGCCCAAAGTGTTCATTTTGGTTTTGGTCACAATTTTATTAAAATTCGTTTGGAATTTGAGGATTTTGAGCTTGGTCACTGTCTGCTGGGAATTAAGAAAGTCAGAATTGAATCATTCTTCTGTACCAGAGGATCTGTACTGGGAAAAATTTTAAATTGCGGAGCTAGCTAGGTTTGTAGTGTTTTCTGTATGATGCTTCTTGGCCTGGGATCAATGCAGACAGCAATATTACGACCCCCATAAAACAATCAAAATCGAAGGGCCCATCGCACAAGGCGATAACAAAATCGTAACTGAATTTCAAAGATAACTTCCACCTTCAACATGTGGAAACGTTCTAGTCTATAGTTAAGTACGTACAGAAAAAAAAAGTTTTGTTGAGAAGCATCGTGGAGCACCAATTTTATTCTTTTTCAACGAATTTGTTGCAACATTTTTTTAAACTGTTTCACTTGTATTATATGCATGAAATTTAGGCAAATACACATATTTGTGAAATTAAAACAACGAAAAGACAAAAAGGAAGGTAAAATACGTAATGGTGCCTTCAGTAAAGTCTTGAATCAATTAGGCCTCCATCGTATGGTATATGATCAGTAGGGGGCGGGGTGGAGCGAATTTTTCAAGTTTTGAAATATAAAACGCTTGTACGTCAAAAGAATGACTATTTTCCTCTTTAATAATATGACAACATTTGAGTTTCCAAATATAATATCTTCGGCTCTATATTTTTAAAATACGTCTTATACAGGGTGTATCTTTTCGAGCGATAAAACTCATCGCTACGTGATTCCGCGATATTTTCTGAGTAAAAAGTTTAATAAAAACTTTCCTCCAAATGAGTCGGGTAGATATGAACGCTTTTAGATTTTTAAGTCTGGCAACACTGTTCTAATTAGACGCAAGTAATTTGAAATTATACGGACAGTTACAAATGACCGTTTGTGACTGATAAAATACGCAAGATTAAGGTAGACTTGAAAACTCAATTGTTATGTGAACTAGGATGGCTTATACTTCCTGAAGGAGTCATCTAGAAGAAAATTTAGACTTTTTACTCAAAAAATAATGCGGAATCACCGATTGAGGGTTTTTTAGCTCAAAAAAATAGACACTGTATAATATATTTTTATTTTTTGGCGTCCCTTGCATTTAAATGCTAAACTCTATTATTAAGCGGCAGATCAAGCTTGTTAGGGAAGTGTGTCTGTCTGTTTGTCTATCTGCGAACACGATAACTGCGAATATGGTACGTGTTTATCGAATTGTTCGTTATTGGCATCTAGTTGTAGAGGTACTTTCTTCTTTAATTAACTTTATTATAGTTTTACTGTTTGATTTTTTTAGTGTTTTTACAATTCAGGATAGGTAAGTCCTTTAAGTTACAGATTTTCATTTTATCAATTCTTTGTTTTTTATATAGAAATAAGTTTTAGGCTCAGTTTAATCTATCAATTACATAATGATTTTTTTTAATCGTCATGTATTTATAATATCGGAGATATCGGAGCGACATAGCCAGGTGCTTTCTCCAACTCTAAGAGCTTGCTAAGGATGTTCCTACTTTCAGTGACAGTTGACCCTACTTGACCACCCCTGATTTCGACTTCATACTGCAGTTCAGTGTCTCGTAAGCGATTAATGTCCATCGCCATAATAGTAATTTATAATATTCAAAAACAATGATAATAATGATTAGGTAATAACACCTAATACAAATACACAATATAATAAAAGTGAACTAAGTCACACAATGAAAACAGAAGTACAGTAGGTTCAGACTTCTTTGGATCGAGTTCAAATTCAAAAGTTGAGTAAAAATTGTACAAATTAAAAGTGATTAAAATCTTACTTGAAGCGATTGCCAATTGTTTATAATTCTCCACCTTTTTATGGTTACACAAAAACAAATGTTAAAATTAATTCAAAAACAAGGCCACTAAAGTTGAAGAGCCAATTTTTATAATGAAAATTTCAATGACAAACCAGGCCACTTTAGTTGAGGCGCCAATTTTTATAACGCGCAAGCTGCAAAATGCTAGGCGCTACAAAATACCATGTGCTTTAATAAAAAAAACACACGCCGCTGACCGGCCAGCTAGCTCTGTTGACCCAAATAGTAAACAGCGGAGAGAGCAAGACAAATACACAGGGTAGTGGGTGACAGAATTAATACATTTGGTAATGGCTCATCATATATCATCGATTCCAAATAAATCTTTACTACTTACTTTTGTGGCTTCTTGTAAATTTCCTGGGCGCCACCTAATTCCGATATAAGTTTCGCTTACACTACCGGAACTAGGAAAGGTAGCTTTAGCTTTAAAATAGGCAACTAATGACCCACAAATAAAAAGTTTTATTCGGTGCACTGCACCATGAAATAAATTCAAAATTGCACAACTTAGATTCCCCACTGGGAATTCATAATCTTATTTAAGGTAAGCAGCAACTCAAAATATGAATCCTCCCAAAGTTAACAAAAGAAGGGGTTTACATAAAATTTCCCATAAAATGTTGAATAAAATACACCAGAATCTCTGGAGTTAACACACAAATATCGTTACAGTGGCAAAATAATGAATTAAATTGAAAATAGATACCTTAATTTATAGCTTGAGTGGGCAATGAAATTATTCGGTTCTTACGAGCTCGTTCGTACCTTACATAAATTGTTATCACTCCATAACGAGAGTAATCTTTTGACTAGCTAAAATATTGTACCCCAAAAATGTCAAGCTTACCAATTAACAGTAATAATCTTGGCTCTATGCAGGCCAATTAGCAATTGATCACCACCGAGGTGGGTCAAATGCAAACACACAAATTTACAAAAAGGTTTAACAATGCTACATCACCGTACGATCAATATTTAGGTCTTCTTTTCCACAGGTCCTGGTATATGGTTGCACGTTGAATGACAAATGCTGCTCTAAATGTTACACAAAGTGTCGGAAGTAAGGTAGCGGCTTCAAGATATGTACGACTTGGCCATTAAGTTATTTCAATGGTTTGATGCTAGATCGTACACACTGCACTCCAGTACTTAGTCGATTTACTTTCCTATGCCCCCTTATCCGCAACACAATGTGGTCTATAGTTTCGTTTCACAGGTAAACAGTCGGATCGTAGTTCTTGACCCCAATACGTGAACTCTCTACATGGAGAGAGTCAACGGAAAATAAAAGAGCTTCGTGAACGTACGAAAGTGAATGGAAGTTATCCTACGATCGTTGTCAGAATGGTCCCAATTATGCTTACGTTCCTTTAGAAGAACTCCTTTCGGATTAAATGGTTACCATGCCCAAAAAGAAATGGCAGGTACAATGATGGTTCACTTGTTTTTAAAGATGCTTTCGCCAAATTGTTGAAAACAAATGAACAGGAACTAAATTAGCACTTAAATCAGGATGAACCGCACGACCGTTCTCTTCGGTTAGCAAGTAAAACACGCTGAATTTTTCCATTTCCGGCCCCAATGAATCAACGAAGTTTTGCTCCAACCAATAACGCGGTCCATCGAAGCTTACAATACCATATATGGTTACGGTATCAAATTACATAGGTTATCTAAAGCGGAAATTGGCTTTTAGACCAATAATAGAAATATAAAACATTAAAACGGGCAGGTACGGAAATAAACGAATGTGAAGGTTACAAAAGGTGACTACCACAGAATAGAAAAGTTATAAACAGGGTGATTGAAATGGAAATACGAACAAAATGTTGATATAATAATAAAACTGTTACAAATATTATCAATATACATTATCGAATCGGTGTCAAAATATTCTCTTCACATTTCTCGTATAATCTCAATCTAACATTTCTACTACTAATTTTTTTCTTAAATATATACTACTATTACTTTCAATATAGTACTCTAAACAGCTTACCAGTATTGCATACAATTTTTGTAGTCTTTGATTTTGTCTTGGTCCAAATTTTTCCCATACGCAACTACTCTATGACCAGGATTTTCTTCTGTTTTATGACAGAAAAATACTAACAAAATTCATACGACCAATTTAACATTGCAAAAATACTAGAACCATACGCGCGAAATTCAAACAACCATCACTTCTAAAGAATCACCCGGTATATTTTTTTAATTTTACAAATCAGAAGTCGATTTTTGTACTATTGAACATTTTATTTATACCTATCTTGTGAGTGAGCCTGTATGCATCCATTTTTCTGAATGGCTAGGTATAGTAGTGGCGCAGACATTTTCCGTCCACAACAAGTACGCCACTGGAGAAGAACCTCAAAAGTCTTCCTATTTGCAGTGTTTTACGCAAACGGACTACATCCATTGGAGATTTCACCAGACGGCACGTCCAGCTTGGGAAACTACGATGCGTGTTTAAGTCTCCACGAAACAATGGGCGAGGACGTTGTCGCTGGAAAGTATTGTTTGGGAAATTTTTTACTAACCAACCAAACAAAGTCAAATGAGACATTACGTTCCGGATTGTGCTTCCCTAGCAAATGTTCCGCACTGGAGATGGAAGATATTTTTAGACGTTTGACTGCAAGCGTTCAAGTTGATGAGGACGTTTGCGACAGTTATGGAAGTGGTCCTAGTTTAAACGGTACCGCCATCCTCCTCTTGTAAGACGTATGTGATAATTGAGCTTTTATTCAGGTGTATTTTTAGGGCTTTACTTGCTGGATTATTAGCACTAGTGGTATTTTCAACTGTGGCCCATATGAAATACGGGAACAAAAACGTGATCCTCTCAGCGTTCTCGCTGAAGAATAACATTACTAAGTGCCTGGCCACATCGACTAACGCCGCAAATACAATTTCCTGCCTGGAAGGAATGCGAGTTTTGAGTTTGATGTGGATCATTGTTCGCCACGTATTCCGAAGTAAGCGTTTGAGGATTCGTAGTGTAAGTAGGAATTTGGCTACCTTTCAGTGAGTGATTGACTTACAGGTGAGGGATGAGGTGATCCACACAATGGTGCTTGGTGGCAGTTTGGCGGTTGATACGTTTTTTGTAATGAGCGGCATGCTCTTGGTATATAATGAGATGAAGAGGTACAAAAAGGATGCTATCCAATTAAATCCTTGCAGACGCTATGCGGCGAGGCTACTAAGGCTCTTACCAGTTTTAACTGTGATTGTCGTATTTCATTTGTCTCTTTTAAAGCACGTAGGTGATGGGCCTTTGTGGAAATTGGTGCGCTCGAATGACGCGTGCCAGACGTATTGGTGGAGCACGTTACTTTTCGTACAGAATTACGTCAATCCTGGAAACATGGTTGGATACTTCGGGATTTTGTGCAGTTTATCTTTTTTATAACCTTGCAGTGTTCATTGGCGAGTTGGTACCTGTGCGCTGATATGCAACTGTTCATCCTTTCCCCTCTACTGTTAGTACCATTGCAGCGAAAACCATTTTGGGGTATGCTCCTTGCTGGTGCTCTGCTTGGATGCTTAACCGTGGCACCTTTTACGCTTCCTTGGATATTCGACGCTGATACCTTGTAGGTTATTATATGCCACACTATCTGTACACTCCAAACTTTTAGAAAAGCGATCAGCCTCAAGCAGAAGTACCAAACTCACATGAGAGCAACACCATGGTTCGTAGGATTTATACTTGGATACATTATTCATGTTTCAAGAACGAGGAAATATACCCTAAACAAAGTTAGGTGACATTGGTCGATGCAGTGGAAAAATCTCTTAGCTTTTAGGTTCTGTGTGGAGTCTTATGGATGGCGTCTTTAGCTGTTTTTGTTGGTCTAATTATACTTGGAGTCCATACGAGGAATTATACCAGTGAATACAAACTGGAAAATGCCACAAGAATGGGGCTAATGCATCCACTATGGTCTTTAGCCATAGCTTGGTTGATATACGCTTGTAGATTCGGATATGGCGGTAAGTAAACTTGTGAAATTCCCAAACTTCTGATACTTTCTGTTCCAGGTTTCGTTAACAAATTTCTTTCCTTACCAATCTTTCAGGTATTGTCGAAATTCACATACACAGCGTATCTCGTCCATTTTGAGTTTGTGATTATTGCACACGCTAGGATCCGTATAGAGCAACCTTTAACAATAACTGAAGCGGTAAATGCAATTAAGCCTGTTCTCATTTGGCACTGATTGATTTACTTTGTAGATTTTGAGAGCTAATGGTCACATGTTGGAAACATTGTATGTTTCGGTGATTTTAACTTTATGTTTGGAAATGCCTTTTATAACTATTAGTCGACTCATTAAAAATAAATAGTTTTTATTCATTAAACACTTACAAATTGTATATATGAAAGCTCAAACTGAAAGGTGAGTCGATTGTTAAAATTCTTCTATTCTATTCCTTACGAAGTCCCTCTTGCACCTTCTTCTTAACTTCTTGCATTAAATTACATCGTTCAGAAAGGCCTTCTGCTTGCCAGGAGAAATTCCTGTTTTAAGGGGCCTATTGAACATAGAAGGGCTCTAAGGATGTAGATCACCGTTATGTTCTGTAACCACTGTTGGTGGTTTGTGGTGGTAGCAAGTCCTTATCTGGTAATACTCCAGCTTTGACCTTCCCCTTCTCTGGAGGAGGTTCTTTACCAAGCGAACTAATCTTTTCCAATAATCCCCAAACCAAGAAAATGCAGGTGGAATGAAGGTCCATTGTATCTGTCGAATTCACTTTTAGTGGTATAGTACTGTGACGAAGGCATATATTGCAGTTTCGTCTTTCGTGTCACTGTTGACGCCCCCCTCCTGAAGCTCATAGTACTTTGCTCCTCAAACTTTCACGAGTGGAGTTGACTCCACCGTCGTCATAATACAAAGAAAGATAGTCATGCTCATGAATTAGAGCTGTGACAAGTGGATGACTTTTTGGTAAGAAGATGGTGGCGTCTTCTCTACACCAAACTCAGGTTTACACGCGATTCAGATTGCCGGCGACATGTCTCCATTGCTCCCGTCCCGTTGGTTTAAGTATTTCCTTCACCCGAAGAGAGACGAGAGAAGAAAACACTCCCCGATCCTCACCTCTTTGTATCCGAGCGAGTGCAACTGAAGAATCAGTCCAGAAGTGAGTGGGGATGTCTTCATATCCGACCACTTCACTCACAACTCGAAACTAGTCTCATTCCAATTATACATCCCATCAACTCCAACTTTGGAATACTTGCCCTACTGGAACTTTTCTTTTGTAACGGGGCTAATCTTGCTTTCGACAGAAATCCACATCTATTTTCACTCTTCAAGAACACAACAGCAGCATACGCAAAACACAGGCGTCAGAAAAAACATGAAGTTCCTTGAAGTAGGTAGCAATTTTGCCTGGATTGTGACTGGTGACAAGTATCCCATCGGATCAACCACTGAGGAGAAAATACATCTCTTTGTACCATCTTTTTCAAACTTCGGATCCTTGATTACGCATTGTGCCGTTTCCTCTACTCCATTTCAAGCCGAAAACTGACATTTCTAGAAAGAATTGCTATTTCCATTTGCATTGGGAACTATTTCTGAGGATGAAGCCAATTCCTCCTCCATTTTAGCAGCTCCCATAATGGCATTTGGCTTTTCCTTGCAGCTCTCACATCCTCCATGCGATGTCATGAGTGACGTTGACGGGTCGGACGACTCTAGTCAGGGAGACAGTACAAAGGGGCCAAATTTGAGGCTGAGGTGGACCCTGTCCACCCTGCTATCGTAATCCAAAATCCAGATGCACCAAGCAGATATGGACTACAATAAATTGAGACCAAAAACAACTAGATTGTGCTGGCAAATCTTCTCCTCTAAAGCTATTGTCCTTCCGCCAGAGAAACTTCTGGAATAGCTTGTCTTCTTCATGTACACTTATTCTTTGGAATGCCTTCCTAATATGTGAAGATACTCCCACCGTGTTTTATTAAAACCTCGGCATAATGGAAGGAATCAACTCAATCAAGTTGGGAGACATTTATTCAAACTTGGAAAAGATGACATGATGCGTGGAAAACTGGCCGCAGTGGAGTAATAGCACTGTCCTTAAACACGGGACGATGAGGTTACAAAGGTCCAATATTTTCTTCAGATATCTCCGTCATGAGTCCTTCCCGTTCCGTAGTCACTCCACTTATTATGTTGTTCGAATTTTATTCTACCCGATTCCATCCTCTTTTGACTGACTGAGTGATTTGTAACGAAATACTCCTCTTTCCCATTCCATAGGAGTGCCACAATATACCTTCCATTATCTTCCCTCTGAACCGTCTTCAAAATGAGGTTAATAGTATTCGTGTCGCTCTCCACCTTTGACTTCTTGCCTGGTGGGTCCTTTGTGCCGATGGTCTCCATATTCTATAAGTCAGAAACGACTGACGGGGTTGAAACGATTTTGTCCTCCCAAGGACCATCCAAAGATGGTTTCTGTTGCTATCAGTCCACATTCTGATTTGACCACCTTACCAATTATCCCTTCCGAACAAAATCTGAATATCCGATGAAGATTTTCCGACGTCTGAGAGCATTCTTGGAGTTCATTCAGCCGAGATCCTTCAGGAACAGAATTGATCCTTGCACAGAACTCTTTCTTTGCCAACAGTTTGATAACAAAGCGCTTGCTTTCGCTGTTTTAGTCCTACTGCGAACTTATCGTACCCTTCGAGTGGCGACAGCTTTCCTCCAAAGACTGCGAGAAATTCTTCTCCAATTTTTATAGCATTTCCTCCCTGCGTTGACTTCCCGCGTCTCCACTTAACCGAACTGAGACTGCTTTCTCGGTTTCATCAACGGTAGTAACTTTTAAAGTATTTAGGAGTATACTAGGAGTGCACTTCCTCTCCCACTATGATGTCCTCTTCCTTCAACGACTTCTGCTTATTAACAGGTGAGCACATGTTGTGATAATGACTGTGGTTACATGACTCAAATCGGATTTTCTTCTTGCATTTCCTGGAGGTGTAACCAATTTTCAAGCACCTGAAGCAAGAATTTTTGCTCATCTTCATAGGTCATGTCTTTCCAACATTTGGCAGAGTCGTGATTTTTACCACCAAAAAAATGCAGAAATTCCTCCCCATCACATTTGATAATAATCCGGAGGCTGTTGGAGAGTTATCCGTGTGCGGACAATTCGCGCCCGGACAATTCGCACTCGGATAATTCGCACCGGAATAATTCGCACCCGGACATTTTGCTCCCAGGATATTTCGCACCCTGGACATTTCGCTCCCGGATAATTCACTCCCGGACCATTCGCACTCGAAAAATTCGCTCCCGAATAATTCACACCCGGATAATTCTGTAAATCTTTGGTTTATTAAAATTAAATATTTTTAAGAGGCTACTAGACCATTGCCTTTACAGAATGTATGTAGTAGTGCCCATCTTGGTAAACATCTACTTCATGGAAAAATGTTTCAAATAATATTATTTGGTCTTTCATTTTCAACACATGGCGATTCTTAAGTATTTCCATTTCTTAAATATAATCACGCTGGTTTTTTTTGAAATTGTATGAAGAGTCTGATATAGTTAAATCTGCGCTTTCGTTTTGAGAAAATAAGAATAGGTAACTGAAACGTCTTTTGTGGAGTAATTAAATACCAAATAGTTATACCTAGTTATACTATATCTACAATATTATGTGTAATATTCGCTACTTTTGAGACGCTCTTAATATTAAAGCAGAATCAACATATAATACCGTACACAAACAAAGTGATAAGTCTAAAGTTAAAAATATTTACATTATAAGATCAAGATGAAAATAGAAAAAGGAAATAATTTTAACGCCCCGTTACATAAAGATTTCATAATGAAGACACATAAAAAATTGTTCTTTATTTCTTTAGTTGAAAATGGTGACAAAGGAAATGAATTAAATTTATTTTAGACAAAACGAGTATGTATAATTGACAATAGAAAAATGCATTTCATAGATGGCACTAAATTTGGATAAGTAATTAAGATAATATTATAATTAAAGGTAAATTTGAAAAGACCCCCATAACACAAATTGCACTTCATAAAGAAACAATAAGAGAAATATCGTAATGACATCCTTTCTATTATTTCTGGAAGATGAATAGGGTTTATTACAAGGTAAAAGTAATTAGGTCCGAAAAATCAGGTTTAAGTACGTATGACCACAACTAATTAGAACTTATTTTTTTGCGTTATCTTTGCTACAACTATGGTAGTGAATGAACTTAAAAGTTTCTTTTTGATTTTCTTACTGTTATTTATTTTATAGTTTGAAGAGATACATGGAAAAATTCTGGCATTTTTTTAAGAGATTGTTAATAATCAAAACAGTAAGGGTTTTGAAAATCTTGAAACGTTTTAGGGACAGGTCGATATTGATGATTTTTTCTTTTAAATGTTTGTAATTATTAAGTACCTATATACTTCCTTTTTAATTTTTGTATGGCATACCTAGTACTAAAGCAAAACCCTTAGCAGTGGTAATTCCGCAACAAGGAAGATAGGACATCATTGGAAATGCTTTCCTTCTCTGAATTTGGTGAGACTATAGTTTTTTAGATTTGATATTTTCAAAAATTTTAAAAGTAAGTTGAGGGCGCGCTGTTGTTTATGTCATTGGAAGGATGTCGGGCCGATCACTATGTAATAGAAGCTAATGCGATCGTGCGTCAAAATTATGCAGTTGCAAGTGGTATAAAAAAGAGAAAACTTGTACCTGCAACGTCGAATGCGCTGGAAATGAAACAACTAAACCAAAAAAATTACATATCCGAATTCAGAGATGGGCGACCTTACCAACGATGCATCATTTAAGATTTTAAGGGTTGCACTGTCAGCGATGCGAGACAAAGACATTAGTGAGCAAGTTTTATTTTAGACACTGTTTCCTTCCATGATCAATTTGACGTGCCAAAGCGTTTTTTGAAAATTATTTTAATTTACAGAAATAGCTATGTATGGTTTCTAATGCACCACCGTATATTATTTAGCTTCGGAGAAATAACACCAAAATCTCCCCATAAAAATTGTTATAATAATAAATGGGTAGATTTTGGTGTTATTTCTCCGAAACTTCTTAAGCACCCCGTTGAGAGTCATGGATCTCCACAATTTCAGTATATTATTTAAATAATAGCCATATAATTTATAGCAAGATCAATTTTTTTCACGATATTTATCAACATTTTTTGCTTTTTTCGTTACTTTATAGTTCTTATCTCTTTAATTTTACGGAAACTCTCAAGAATCTATTTGTTTTACGTTCAAATATGATTATAATTTACTTGAGATTCTTTTAAGACAATACATACATATTTCGTTATGTGTCTT